TAGCTTAGGGCAAATCTTCCCTTGCAAAAAAACAGAAAAGGCAGAGATAAATTATGTGTCTTACAATAGAGAATTAACTAAGTTAGTTAAATGAATTATAGTATATCCACATAGTAGAATGCTAGATAGCCATTAGAAAATGAAACACAGCAAAAACATTCAATAGCATGAAAATATATGCATATTATTAAGGAAAATTACTAAACTCTATATATATATAATATTATTCAAACCTAGTTTACAAAGGAAAAAAACACATAAGCACCGAACAAAGGATTGGATGAATAGTCACTAAACTGTTGGTAGTGATCTCTGGGAAGAGGGATTGGAAGTGGCTTAAATATTCTCATTTATGCTTTTTCTGTATTTCTAAATTTTCTACAATGAACATATACATTGTAGACAGACTAATGACCTCTCAAAGATGTCCACATCCTAATCCTCAGAGTCAGTGAATATGTTAGGTTACAGAGCAAAATACATTAAGTTTGCTGATGGAATTGATGTTGCTAATCAGCTGACATGCAGAAGGGGAGATCATCTTGGATAATCTGGATATCCTGGATAACCTGACCCAGTGTAATCACAGGGGCCTTTAAATGTGGAAGAGGGAGGCAGAAGAGAGATGCCCTGTGAGAAGGACTCTATCAGCTGTTGAAGATGGAAGGGGGCCATGAGCCCAGAAATGCCGGCGACCCCTAGAAGCTGGCAAACGCAGGAGAATAGGTTCTTTCCCAGAGCCTCCAGAAAAGGAACACAGCCCTGCTGACTCCTTAATTTTAGCTCAATGAGAACCATTTTGGACTTCTGACTCCAGAACTATAAGATAATAAACTTGTATTGTTTCAGGCCACTAAGTTTGTGGTACTTTGTTACAGCAACAATAGGAAACTAATACAATGAATTTCTTTTTTAGTCAGAAAAAACGAGCTGATGATAATAAACGTCATTTTAAAAGAAAGGATTAAAAATCACTCCTTGTAATTTAACTCAATAGTCATCCAAGGAGGAGGTGCTAGGAGGAGGCCTGGCACAGTCTTCGTCCTATAAAACATCTGGATGAGGAGCCCACAGGAAGAGCTGGCTGTTTTGTCATTAGCAGAAAATAATAATGCAAGGGATAAGTAAATAACCAGGCCAGCCAGCAGCCTGAGAACTGTCCTACAGTAGTGCACAATTAACTGCACAAAGCGGGGCAAGAGCAATCAGTACTATGGGTCCAGAAGAGGGGGAACCAGAGATCTGCTGCTTTCAAAGATTCTGGGACCAGGAAAGGAAACTGAACTTGAAAGGAAACTCTTTTCAAGTAGTGGAAACTGCCAGGTTGTTCTGCTGGTTTGTGCTGGCAAATCCCATTCTTTTACCAACGAACAGAAGAGGGATGATGGGCACGGCCCATGGGAAGCTCTTCCAACCTCAACGAGGGGCAGGGAGCTGAGCATGTTTGCAGTCTTGCCCATTCCGGACTGTTCATTGAAGCAACAGGCCTGAGTTGGAGAGTTGCAGAGGATTTTCTCTTAAATAAAATCCTTTCCTGTTTGCTTTGAAGGAGCTCTAAGGGAAACCTCAGACCCTTAGTGAAGGCTGCCGTGAATAAGGTATCTGCAAACGGAAGCAGTATTTTTTTTCTTTGCTAGTGGGTCCCAAACCACCTCCTTTTTGGTTTTTTATTTTTTTTTAAAGATTGGCACCTGACCGAACAACTGTTGCCAATCTTCTTTTGTTCTTTTCTTTTCTGCTTTATCTCCCCAAATCCCCCCAGTACTTAGTTGTATATCTTAGTTGTGGGTCCTTCTAGTTGTGGCATGTGGGATGCTGCCTCAGCATGGCCTGACGAGTGGTGCCATATCCATGCCCAGGATCCGAACCGGTGCAACCCTGGGCCGCCGCAGCAGAGCGTGCAAACTTAACCACTCAGCCACAGGGCCGGCCCCTCCTCTTTGGTTTAATCTGTTGTCAAGTCTCCCCTTCTGTAGCAGATAGGGCTCTCTGGAAGCAGGTGCTGAGCTGGAACTTGGCAAGCAGGACATTTGTTATGGATAAATCCTGTGAAGGTCAGGAAATCGAAGCAAGGTTGGGCAGAGGGAGTGATCACGCTGAGATGCAAGCCTGACAAAGTGGACCCCACAAACCTATATGGCCCATATGTAGGTGGGTAGGCTGCAGTGGCCAGCGTTTAGACACCCTTCTTGTGATCAGTTGTCGGATGTGGGCCTGGTCTTGATGATGAGGCAGCTCTTGGCCAACCCCAGAGGAACTGGAGGCTGTCTGCTGACTGCAGCATGTCCTTCTCTGAGGGGAAGTCAAGTTGGCACATCTCTGTGTTCACTATACCATCCCCCTAGTGGCTCTGCTTACTGGCTTGGACCTACAGTCCTATTAATCTGGTGAGTCCAAGAGTCACTTGGCTCATTTTCCTGAGAGCAGAGGTGACCGCATCAGGGAAATTTGCAGAGAAGGCTCACAACAAAGAACGTGATAAAAAAGCATGACTTTTTTTTTACCTTTTAAAATCTCTTTTTTAATACTTTTCTATCTCTAAGAATTAAGGAAAATTACTAAATTCACACCTTTCACACGTCATACCAGTTGTAGATATAATAAAGGCGATCAACAACTTGAATAAAATCTTACCCTTTTATGCCTCTGAGAATAAAGGGAACTTACTAGTTCAGATCTGACCCCCTATAGTAAGTTAAGCTACATATCAGTTTTTCTTTTTGCTTCATACCAGTTGCAGATATAATTAAATGGATCAACTACTTGAATAAAGTCATATCCCTTCCTATCTTTAATAAAAGAAATTGAGATCTTTCACATCTTAAACTTTATCTAGCCTATCAGTCTATATAAATTTACTTCCTATATTTAACACTTACATTAAATGTCTAAATTTAACAAATGCTATTACTTAGAATTTTGCAAACAACTAAAATTAATTTGGAACCACACAAGTTTTTATGAAAAGAAAAAACAAAGCAGCAGGGGAGCTCTTGTTTGTAACTTGAGACATCTCCTGAGTAACCCAGTTTAAGAAAAAGCAAACCGAGAAACAGTCCACGACACATATTTTTTTCAAAGAACTAAGCAAAAGGCACTCATAAAGCACTTCGATCACATAAACTCCAACTCCATCTAAGGAATCCAATATATTCATGGTGATAGCCGACCTCTTAATCTCAAGTTCACGCGCCCCACGCACAGTAAGCCAAAGCCTGAGACATCAGGGCTTGAAGGCGGAGAAAGATTTGTTCCCATTGGCCCAAACGGGTAGGTGGGAGCCTGGGTTCCCTCAAAGCCGCCTCCGGGAGACCAGAAGGCAGCGGGGTTTTATGGAGCTAGGGGCTGGCCGGGAGGAGCTTCCGGCAAACACAGGGGTCACTTCCCATAAGCCCCTGGGAAAGCTGACTCCCGGGGCAAGGCTGCTGAGGGCCGGCCAGCGGGATGAACCTCCCTGAGGGCGTTCTCTTTCTTCCGCAGAAGGAGCTCACAAATCCTCAAGACACCAAGTCACCCCTCAAGTTAACAGGAAAAAACAGCAAATTGCTTTACTATCTGCAGTACCCCTCAGGCACCCGGCTTCAATGGCACAACCTGAAGATTCCGAGCTAAACTGATTTTCCTCAAGTTAAGAATGCATCAGGGGCCGCCCGGGCCGAGTGGTTGAGTTCGAGCGCTCCAATGCAGTGGCCAAGGGCGTCACGGGTTCGGATCCTGGGCGCGGACATGACGCTGATCGTCAGGCCACGGTGAGGCGGCGTCCCACATGCCTCAACTAGAAGGACCTGCAACTAAGATAGACAACTATGTACTGGGGGGATTTGGGGAGAAAAAGGAAAAGAAAAAAAAGAATGCATCAAACCAAGTTTGAATTTTTACCCCCCAGTTATTTGCAACATGACCAATTCTCATGGATGAGGGAGGCAAAGGCCCTTCAGGGTAAGAAGTGGTGAGAACTTATCAAACCTACTGTCCTCAGAGAGCACAGTACAGGGATTTTCCTCGTGAGGGGCCCCGGGTCCCTCACCGCGAAAGCAGTGAGGAAGGAGCGAGAGGCGGCTACACGGCGACGACGCAGAAAGACGGGGCGGGAAGGAAGAAAAAACAGAAAACCAAAGGGGGAAAATAATGGAGCCTACTGAGGAGACGCAGGGGCGGCTTCAGCTCCAGCGGCGGCGGCGGCGACGGCGACAGCACTGGCGGCGGGCTGCGCAGCACCATGGGGCCTAGAAGGGCCTGGAAGAGGCGCGGGGCGGCGCTCCCCGGGTCGGGAGAAGCGCAGGGCGCGGAGGAGCCGCGGCGTGTTGGCGTGCTCCTGCCCGGCACGGGGACGGGAGAGTGGGCCTGGATCCCCTCGATGGGGGCCCGCAGGACGCGCGACAGGCCCTCGGCGGAGCGGGCCTCCCCACGACGCGCTCGCACGATGTCGCAGGAACCCAGGAAGTCGTCGCGACTGTCGGCGTCGCCGTTTTCGGAGTCGCTGAAGAAGGGCCGGAAGTCGCCGCCGCCGTGCTTCCTCAGGCCGTCGGCGGGCGGCGCCGCGGGCTCCCCGTTCCCAAGGACACCAGCTGGTCTTGGACGGCGCGGCACGTGCAGTGGCCGCCAGCTGGATCTCCTCCATCTCTCGAGTCGTGGCCTCCAGGATGGCGGTAAGCTTCTTTCCCTGGTCACGGCGAAGCTGGGCCCGGATCCTCTCACGCCGCCCCGTCTTTCGCGCCTTCTTTGTGCCCTTGAGAGGCGGGGCGGCTGGGCCTCGAGATCCATCTTGGCAAGATCTTCAGTGACAGAATCGAGGTTGCTGTCATCAGGAAAATTCTTTTGGAGCTTCTCTAGTTCCTGCTGGTGCCTGGGCTCCGTTGTGGCCTCAAGACCGGCCACGTCGAGGAGCAGCTGCTTCCTTCCTTTCCGGTCGCTCCTGGGTCGGGCCTGCAGCTCTTTCTTCTCGAGGTGGTGGCGTCGTACCATCCGCTGGTGCTCCTTCTGCCGATCTTTCCTGATATTTAACGGCAGGCCAGAATGGAAGTTTGGCGGCTGCTAAAGTACCGGCTGCTGTTCAGGCTAACGGCGCAAACCGCGATCAGGCCACGGGTCCTCAGCCTCCCCTGGCCGCTGCAGTCTGTAAAGCGTGACTTTTGCAATGGGACAGGATCCTTCAAGAGGTCCTAAGCCACTGGAATACTCAGAGCCTGGGGACCTGTGTGACAGGATGGAGGAGGGATTTCTACGTTGAGCCGGAGGGTGGACGGTTTCTTTCTAGGGCCCTTATGTCTCTGAGGGCGTGTGGCTACTGGGACCACCTTAGACTCTGCCCCAGGGGGGCTGTTATTGGCCATCTAGGGCTCCTCGGGTGTCACCTTTGGGGCTGATGTCTGCTTCATGTCAGGTCTACCCCCAGCACTTTGCCACAGACCTGATCCGCGTTACTCCCAGAAAGGGCCCAACTTCAGCTCAGAGAATTCCTACAGTCTGGCCCCTTCAGATCACCCCCTTTCTCTTTGCCCCACTTGCTTGGCTCCCAGTCTTGGTTCCCCCTTCCCATTTTGCCCCTTTTGGATTTGCTGACCCTAGCATGGGCCCACACATCCACAGGACCCTGCTTCTGCTACAGGACTCTCAGCCGCCGGCCCTGCAGCCCTGGGCACGAGACACTGCGCTTCCTCTCCTAGTCAGATGTCTAAGACTTCACTGCCCATCCCTGTCCTGGAGGTGAGATCAGTGAGTAGCAAGTACTGAACATTCATAGTCCCCTTGGTAAATGAGACTTCCTTTTATTTGATCAAACCATACCTGCCGCAAGTTCCAGCAGGTGCCACCTTTTCCTAGTACTTCAGAATTTGATGAACAAGTCATGTTTATTTTATTCGTGCTGCTCATTGTTTCATATATATGTTTAAAAGCTTGGGGCTGGCCCCATGGCCTAGTGGTTAAGCTTGGTGCACTCTGCTTTGGTGGCCCGGGTTCAGTTCCCCAGTGCAGACCTACACCATTTGGTGGCCGCCATGCAGTTTCAGTGACCCACATACAAAATAGAGGAAGATTGGCACAATGTTAGCTCAGGGCAAATCTTCCTCAAGCAAAAAGAGGAAGATTGGCAATGAATGTTAGCTCAGGGTGAATCCTCCTCAGTAAAAAAAACCAAAAAACAACCTCAGTATATCTTACATGCAAAATGATATGTATTATATACTTGTAACCACACTTGAGTACCCACTACCTGCTTAAGAAGTGGAAACTTATTGGTACCTTTGAGGTCCCCTGTGGTCCCCTCTCTCCAAAACATCTCCTTGCCTCTCTCCCAGAGGCAGCCCAGGGGACTGCCGTCTTGAATTTCAGTGTGTCATTTCTTTGTTTCCTTCACAGTGTTACCACCTAGGTATGCATTCCTGTACAATATATTTGCTTTTGGTACTTAAAAAGAAATTCATGTAAATGGAATCTACTGTGTTATTCTTCTGTGATGCTTTCTTTTCACTCAATATTATGTTTTTGAGATCCAGCCCTGCTGTGGCGTGTGATTTATATTTCAGTGAGGCCCCTCCTCAGTCTTTATCTTTCCCATGACCCTGCAGGCTGAGGGGTTGTGGGCTTTCAGTTTGCCTTTCGGCAACAGTCCACTGGAGACCCCCTGTCTTCCCCATTATCCTCTTCTATTCTCCTCCTTTGCATCTTCCACTATCACCTCCTTCAAGTGCAAAGACCATCCCCCACTCACATACCAAAGCATGTGCATCCATGCACTGGGTTTCTGGAGATAAATACACAACCATGGCACTCACATGGAGGTAGTTTAATGATTGTGACTCTTTTACTTTGTTGAAATCTGGACCCTGGGACAGAAATGAGTTTCCTGCTTTAGGAAAATGAAGCATGTTGATTTTATTGCTATTGGACCAGGCAGGTAATGCTTTGCAAACTTCAGTGAGCACAAGAATTACCTGGAGGTAGGGGATGAGGAGCTTGTTAATTAGGCAGATTTCTGGACCCCCATTCCCTAGAGGTTCAGAACTAGAAGATCTGGGGGTGGGGCCCAGGAATCTGCATGTTAGCAAACATTCCCCTCTCCACCCAGATATCTTTGGTGACTCTTTTGGCAAACTTTGGACACTTGACCTGAAATGCTGTCAACCTCTAAGCATTTCTCTTAGCTAGGTGTTAAATGAAGTCCTGTCTCCTGAGCTTTCCACACTGGACCTGCATAGAAATCAGTCTTCACTGAGGTTTGAAGTTCTGGCAAAGACTGTTCCCTCAGAGAGAAAGGTTAGGCAGACTCCAGAGCTGGTACTCTGAAACCTGCCCCCTCTGTGCAGTGTTGAGTTTCATGGGGATTGCTGCATTTTCCACACAGAAAGCTGGAAGAAGGAGCTCATGCTTGCTGCAGACACATGAAATCGCTCAGCCACCAGCTTGACAGCAGCAGTCCGCAGGCCTGGGTCCTGACCAGGATAGCAGTAGCAATAGCAAGCAGCAGCAATTGCAGGAGGAAGAGTCTACCCACAGGGCACCCCGGAACCAGCCGGTGTGGGCAGACCAGAGTTGCTGTAGGCCTAGCTCAGGCATTTTGCATGCTCTCTGACTTGGCCAGGCTGGGGAGAGGCAATTAGCACTGGACATCTTTGGCAGGATCTGTTGATCATGGGCACCTGTCTGCACTTCCCCTGTGGGACAAGGATCTTGGCCAGTGGTCACCAGTCACACTTGTTGGGGACGAAGCTGTCTAGGCCACTGAGGCATGTGGCAGGAGTCCCCAGGGAGGCAGCTAGACTGTTCTTTTCCAACCTAATGAAATGAAAAACAAAGGCTTTGAGTCCAGGGCAGTAGAGAGGTCCTGGGTGGTAGGGAGGCCCAGGACATCTGTTTGTCTTTGACCAATGGAGCTGAGGGAGAGTTGGGGGCACGGTTCAGATAATGAGCCTGGCTCTGCATGGTGCTGAGGCCTCAGCAATGAACAAAAGACACAGGGTCCCTGGCTTCACAGAGCTCTGGCTATGTAAGTAAATAATTGCAGATGTGTGCAAACTGAAGAATTTGCTGAGTCAGTGGGGAACGCCAAGTTGGGGGCAAGGGGTATGAACTTGATTTTGTAGTCAAAGAACACTTTAGAGGAGGAGACACTTACAATGGATCTTAAAGGATGAGCAGGAATCTGAAAGTCAGGAGGCAGTATTGCAGGCAAAGGAAACGTCAAGGGCAAAGGCCTGAGATGAGTCCAGCAGGCTTCAGATGATTCCACTGCTGCTAGGTACCTAGAGTAGTCAAACTCAGAGAGACAGAAAGTAGAAGGGTGGTTGCCAGGGGTTGAGGGGCAGGGGGAATAGGGAATTACTATTTAATGGGTACAGTTTCATTTTTGCAAGATGAACAGAGTTCTGTGGATGGATGGTGGTGATGGTTGCATAATGACAGATGTACTTAATGCCACTGAATGAACAATGTGCCCGTAAAAATGGTTAAGATGGAATATCAGTCATGTGCTGCATAATGACATTTCAGTCAATGACAGGCCACATATACGACAGTGGTCCCGTAGAATTAGTACCACATAGACTAGGTGTGTAGTAGGCTATACTATCCAGGTTTGTGTAAGTACACATTGTATGCACAATGATGAAATCACCTAGCAAGCATTTCTCAGAACGCATCCCCATTGTTAAGCAACACTTGACTGTATAAATGATGCCTGAAGTGCTCAGCCCTTAGCTTTTAAAAGCTCTACTTGCTGAGAATGTCACCCAATAGAGCATCTTAGAATGATAATTATTGGTGATACAGTCAGCAAATTTATACCTAGTTAATAATTCTTTATATTAAATTCTTTATGTTAAAAAAAGCTAAAGGAAGGTTTTTGAATTGATAATGCTAAAAAGTTGTAGTGACTTTTGAAAACCAAAGTGATTTTTGAATAATCTTTTCTATGCAGAAAAGCTGCCCACAAGGACTCCCCAAAGTCACCATGAAACATAAAATATTGTCATAGGTAAGTGAGGGTTCTAGGGCTTTAATTAAGGCAGTAGTGGAATGGATGGAGAGGTGAGGGTGTATACAGCAAGTGTCATCCAAGGTAGAACAGCTATGGAAAGCAAGGCAGAGAGACCCAGGAGGCCAGGATTGGCTCTTGGTGTTAGACTTGAGTGCCAGGGTGGATGGAGAGACTGTTGATGGAGCTATGGAAGAAGGAGCAGACGTATGGGGAGGGGGCTCTATGAGTCTGGGTGGAAACTGAGCATTCAGCAGCCAGCCTGACACTCAGCCATGGCACTCAGGAACATCAGGGTGGAAGTAAGGATTTGAGAGCATCAGGGCATAAACAGTGGTGGAAGTGCTGTATGCCACAGAGATGACCCTGAGAGAAATGTGGGTGGAGGAGCGACCTTGACCAAGGACATAACCCCGAGGAGTGCCAGCACTTTCAGGGTGGTGAAGCCTGAGCTGACAAGATTCACTTAGATGGGATAATTTCAGGGCCTCAGAATTCCTCTGCCACCTTCACCCCGTTCTCTGCCCCCATATCTCCTGTAGGGCTTTGCCATGCCTGGAGTTCTTCAACTCAGGAAAAGTGTGGCAATGAGGCATCAATGTCCCAATCAGAGGCCCAGGGATTATGGTGGGAGAGATGACATAAGAACTGAAATCACACAAAGGTGCCAATGACTGATGCCTGCTGGTTTCCAGCAAGCAGTTTCCTTTGGGAGAGGAGGGTACACGAGATGTCTCAAAGAGGGAAGCCTGTTGGCCTGGTATTTGATCTCTACTTAAATGTTCCTTGTCTCCGTATAGAGTCATTTCTCAGAGCTGAGAAACATGAGACAGGCAAACACCAGGACTGTCCTAAGGGCCCACATGAATGATCCAAGAAAGATGGAGAACTCTGCAATGTCTACACTGACATTTCTGAGTTAGGAAAGACTGCAGCAGCTTTTCTCAATTTTGGCTGGACATGGGAATTACTTAGGGAGCCTTAAAAATACCAAAGCCTAGGTCCCATACTCAGAGATTCTGACTTAATTGATTTGGGGTGGGGCCTGGGTATCTGGATGTTTACAAGCTTCCCAGGTGATTCTTTTTTAAAAAATTGTTTATTTTATTTAGGAAGATTAGCCCTGAGCTAACATCTGCCGCCAATCCTCT